TCCAGTGGGGCTGGCCATGCTGTGTTGTGCCCCGATCGCAAAATTCCCAAGAAGCCACCAAGGAGCCGATTCCGATGTCAACACACAGGGTTGCTTTTATTCGGGGTCAGGCCAGGACTCCCAATCTTACTGGCACAGCGGGTCAGAGTCGAGAGCCTCCTCGTTGTTAGTTGGGCTGGGTTTTTATTTGGCTGTTGGGGAAGAGGTGGAGGGGTGCTGAGGAATGCACTCAGGCAGCTCCATATTGGCTGTAGATTTCAAGAAGTATAGTTGTCTTTTACTGATTGGCAAGAAAGTTTCTTCAGGTCTCTGGTATTTCCTTTGTTTTTTATCATTGGCCAGCCCCAGTGGGGTGATGGTCTTATGACTTTCTCCTATGTGATCGGCTTGCCTCCTTGAAATGGTACCGATTCTCACCAAGGTGGGTTTAACAAAATGGAGTCGCCCCGAAAGAAATGGCGTCACTCTGGCTCTTCAGCTGCAATCCTTTCTCCTCTGTTCTCCTCTCGGAATTCTGGACACGCATGCACATGCGACTGATGTGAGTTTAAAGCCGCTGGTCCGGAACTCAAACTGTGGTCAACTATGTGGGAGTCCAGCAGCGTAACCATTATGCCATCTGCTGGTCTCCCTAAGACTGTTTTATTTTTTTATTTTTTTTAAGGATTATTTTATTTAACTTTATTTATTTATCCATTTTTAAATTTCAATTTTACCAGAGAGAGAAGGAGGGAGGGAGGGAGGGAGGGAAGGAGAGAGAGAGAGAGAGGGAGAGTGAGAAAGTAAGCCACCAGGTTCAGGACTTGAACCGTAGTCAGTCATGTGGGAATCCAGCGCCTTTAACCACCACGCCGTCTGCCAGCCCCCCTAAGTCTGTTTGAAACTATATTCTTTCTTTTTTGGAGAGTTTTTTTTTTTTTTTTGCTATAGGTCCCCAAACTATATTATTTCTTAAGACACTGCCTGACTTGTGTCTGACAGGGAAACACTGGATATCTCTGTGGATTTGGGTGGACGTGGAAACTTAGAGGATGGTGGTGAGGTAGGAAGAGAACAGTCTCTGAAGACAAAATTACAACGGACTTAGTTTAAGGATCTTACCTGGCTTTTATTCACAATTCTAGAGCCCGGCAATACCTCATTCAGTAGAGCAGAATGAGTCCTCACAAACTGAAGAGGATGGATTTATAGGCAGAAAAGGGATGAAACACGCAGAAACAGGGAACAGAAATGCAGACTGACCATTTCAGTTATTTTCTTTGTAAAAGTTAAAGTAGGGGGACCAGCAGTTGGCGTTATGGCTATGTCGCTGGACTCCCATGTAGTTGACTGTGGTTTGAGTCCCAGACCCGGTGGCTTAAAACTCACGCTGGGCGCATGTGCATGCGTGCCCAAGATCCCGAGAGGAGAATGGAGGAGAAGGGACTGCGGCATGGCCATCCCCCCTGGGGGGTGATTTCTCGCTTTCTGTCTGTCTCTCTCTGTCCTTCTGGCGAGTGCACACGCACTATAGAAAAAAAAAAAGAAGAAGTTAAAGCAGGTGTCATGCCAGCTAAGCCAGGCCTGTTTAAACATTTGGCTATTGACTCTCTCCTAATTTCTCAGAAGGTCAGATAAACAACTTAGCTTGGCCTGGTGACCTAGCACATGCATGAATGATTGCATTTCGGTTCGGCCTGTTCGGCCTAGCTCAGGAGCTTCATCCAAACCAATGACCTCCTGTACATTTCACTTAATGAGCTTGGTCAGTTTGAAGAACAAAAAGACCGTTGTGGGAAGGGCTTAGTAGGTCTGGGCAAGGGTTAGGAAAGAGAAAGACAGAGATTGGAAAAGAAAACAGGCACTAGACTGTGTGGGGTGTTGAAAGAGGGAGCTGGTAGGTACGTACATTAATTAATTATCCTTAGTTCAACAGGATGGTCTCTAGTCAGGGACTGACATTACTTTATGCAAGGATACCAGCTCATATAAAACTGGAATTTTTCGCTTCTTAACCAAACATTGGCCTCTGGGTTTATGAGCTGTCCCTCCAAAGTCCTAGGGCTGAAGGTTTCTGTATCCCCTCTCTGCTTTGCCAAAGTGATGAGCAGCAGAAAGCAGAAACTAAATTATTTCCGGGACACAATAATTAGTGCCAGAACCATCAAAGGGCCCAGAGCATGAGAGCACAGCGCATGGGAAGCGAGAGACCTTCGAAGACCTGCGACTACATTGACATGAGGTGCTTTTGCTACGTGTGCAGAAATTCAAGGCGTCACCTTGCCTCACTGCCATTCTGAATAAGCACACTGTATATCAAACTGAGGGGAAAACAAAAGCACTCTGAATCCTGAGCTCGACTAAAATGAGCAAAATACCAATCTAACACATTCCCCCACATCAACGAAGCCTTTCCGGTCAGCACAACTCCCTAATTAACACTCGGTCCTTGACTTGGTGAAACCAGCAGTTGTAGATACGTGGACAGTGGCAAGTAGAGTTATGGAAGAAGGACTTGTTTTTTTCCCGTCACAATTACTTGGGAATTAATTCATTTGTTCCTTTTTCCTTATGTGTACAGCCAGGTATTCTGAAGTTAAAACTCCCTCAGGGCCAGCAGGTGGTGTAGTGGTTAAGGTGCCAGACTCCCACATGGCTGACCAAGTCCCTGACCTGGTGGCTTGAAAATCACACTGGACACATGTACGTATGTGCCCCAAATCCCAGGAGGAGAATGGAAGAGAAGGGATTGCCACATGGCCATTCCCCTGGGAGGTGATTTCTTACTTTCCCTCTCACTGTCTCTGTCTCCTGCAAGCACATGCACCCTATGGCAAAAACCTAAATTAAAAACAAACTCCCTCAAAAAACTTTCATAATTTTTTTTTAGCTCAGTTGTCCCTGAATCTTCCTTTTACAACATATTCGCTTTGAGATAGAGCGAGCCTTCAAAGTAAATAGCTTTCTTCTCTCTGCGACCTGAGCCCTGTGCGTGCCTTAACTGTTGCACTGTTCATATTCCACAGCCATTTTCTGGCTTCCCTGTCTGCCTGCACTCAGCCTGAAGACTTCTCTAGAGCAGGGCTTCATAAATTAAGTCTCTGCTCCTCGGCACTTAGCCCAGGGCACTGCACAAGTTAGCAGATTGGTGAGATTTATGATTGTTGATCTTTTGACTGATTCAGCCAGTGTAAACGCCTTTGGGCAGTGTTGGGAAGACTGTGTCCCACTAAAAGATACGATGACGTTCTAAACCCCCCCCCATATCTGTGATCTTGTTTGGAAATAGAACCTTTGCAGATGTAATCAAGTTAAAACGAGGACAAACTGGATTAGTATGACCCCTGATCCAATATGAGAAGTGTCCTTATTAGAAGAGAAAACGAGATCCAGAGACACAGGGAGAATGCTATGTGACTGTGGAGGCAGAGATTAAAGGGAAGCAGCCACAAGCCAAGGGATACCAAGGGTGGCTGGCAACTACCAGGAGCAAGGGAAAAGAAACTGATTATTCTTCAGAAACTTCAGAACTGTTAGGGAATAAATGTGTGTTGTTCATGGTGCCTTGTTATAGAAGCCCCAGGAGACTCACACAGGCAGTGTGAACATGGATCAAAGACCAAATGGGGGGGAGTGAGAAAGTGTGTCTGTGAGGTTCTACGTCTCATTCATCCTTTACTTAATTCCACAGACACTGGGTCTGTGATCATGTCTCTGCTAAAATCCATGATTTGAGTTAGTATGCACCTTATTCTCACAGATCCTTTAGGGCAGGGCTCCCCAAACCTTGGGCCTCAGACGGGTACCATGTAGGATCCAGCCACCTTCCATAGCCTTTTGGGGGCGAGGCCACCCACTGGTGTTGGTCTGCCAGGCCACACAGTAGAGGGTAGGCAGTGGGTGGGCAACGGGTGCATAACAAGACTTGGTCTGTGTTGCCAGCTGCTTCTCATCACTGGCTGCTGCGTAGGCCCTGTCTGCTGTAGGCTCAGCGGCATACTGAGTTCTCACAATCCCTGTAGTAGCGATTGTTTCTTTTATATTACGATGTGGTAGTGGTGGAAATGGGGTTCGGGGTGGACGTGGTGCACTTGGGTCCTCCAGGGACCAACCCCACCTCACTCCCCATCCCCATGGAGAGATTATCTTTCACAAGGGGCCCCTGGCACCAAAAAGGTTGGAGACCACTGCTTTAGAGAATGGCAAAATCCCCATGGAGTTACTAAGGTACAAAAGGAACGAAGGAAGAATCTTTGAGGTTTGGGGAATTTTACTAGAGATTCTGCAGGCTGGGTAGTGGTGTTGCACTAGGTTGGCAGTATCCACCCTTCTCTGTTAACACATAGGTGACAGATGTTGTGCATCTGTCACAAGAAACATCCATGGCTGTGCTCAGTCTTAGGAATGCACTGACTGCAAGTCTTCCACAAAAGAAAGCAAATCAAGGGACCAGCAGTTGGCATAACAGCTATGTCGCTGAACTCCCATGTAGTCGACTGCGGTTCAAGTCCTGGACCCGGTGGCTTAAACTCAAGCCGGACACGTGTGCATGCATGCCCAAGATCCCAAGAGGAGAATGGAGAAGGGATTGGGTGTGGCCATCCCCCCTGGGGGGTGATTTCTTGCTTTCTGTCTTTCTCTTTCTAGTGAGCGTATAGCAAAAGCCTCTCAAAAAAAAGAAAGAAAGAAAGAAAGGAAGGAAGGAAGGAAGGAAGGAAGGAAGGAAGGAAGGAAGGAAGGAAAGAAAGAAGGAAGGAAGGAGAGAGAGAGAGAGAGGAAGAAAAGAAAGCAAATCAGAATGCAAATGAAGCAATAGGAGGGAGCTTTCATAAGAGAACTGATCCTGAACATTCAGAAACAGGTTCCTTGGTTTTTATTGGTAGTCAACGCTAAGTCAATGGGTTCCAGATCCTGGACTTGTATGATGTTTATGATTCTGTAAACATACAACCTCCAGAATTCTCTCTTTATTTTTTTAAAACTTGCCAGTGGGCAAGTATGCTCCCTGGAAACAGAGGGAGAAAGTGAGAAAGCACCCCTATAGAGGATGATTACACAGCAACCATCCTTCCCCCTTCGGATTCTGGGCAGCCACGCACCGCCCCAAATCTACCCCGCGTCAGGGACTCGAACAGCTCTGTCGGCCCTGTGGGATCCAGCCACCTTAACCTCCACGTCACTGGCTGGCCCCAGAATTCCCTTTAAAACTCGGCTCTGATCGCGTCACTTTCGGGCCTTGGATGGATGCTCAGAGAATAAATCAAAAGTGAAGGTACTTAGCCAACAGCAACGCAGTGGATTCGCACCCAGGGAACCCCGAAACCGGCTCCGCCGCCCGCCCGTGACGTCAGCACGTGGTGCCAGCGGGAGCGCGTCATCTCGGCGCGCCAGGTTCGGGCGCCTCCGCGGGCCATGGCAGAGGTGGGTCGCGTCGCGGTACGTGACCCGGGCGGGCTGCTCCCGCCGGGCTTCTGGGCAGCGGGGGCCGGGTGGGTGGAGAGGCGG